CCCTTTCTGGGGGCAGGGCGCTGCTAATGAGGTGTGTCCGTAACTGACTCCCTTTATGTACAGAGCAAAAATGTATTGCCTTCACTTGGAAAATAGCTTAAAAATGCATCCCAGCTCGGGAATTGAGAAAACTGAGTTTATAAAAAAAATAATAATCAAATATTAAACAACTGCGCTAAGCACTTCTCGCAGTGCAGTTTTCTATTCGCCAAGCCATCCAGTTTTTCTCAGTACATGTGCCAGAGATGTTGGATTGACAGTGTGCAATATGCGTTGATTTTTTATGGCCTTCAATTTGCCGTGGATGTGGGGCCAAATGCCGAACTCTCCGAGTCGAAGTGTATAAGTCGATGCCGATGCTCCGGAGTCGCGCTGTGCCGATCTCGAAATGCAGATAATAATTATTTCAATATGTGTGACTGACTTGCTTGAATGACTGACTGACTGACTGACTGCCAGCCGGACGAACTGACGGCGGGATGGATGGTTGGTTGGCTGGTTGGGGGATCGCAGGGCAATGCCAATGCCAAAACGTCGTCCCAGATCGTCATCGTCATGATCTTCATTATCATTATGCGAGTGGATCAAAACCGCGACGCCGCCAACAACATTTAAGTCTCTTTGCTTGCTTCTTTTTTCGAGACTTCCCTTTCAAGGGGTATATACAATTTTAGCTGCAGCGTGAACTATTAGCAGCAAGCCAAATTATTTGAAAAACTTAAGGTTTCATTTTAGCTTGCAGTATGTATTAACTATTCCAATTTAATAATTTAATGTTGATTTTGGGGAATTTACATTTACGCATAATTTTTTACAGTCCTTGAAGGGTATTTGCTATTTCGGTCTGCCCCATGCATTATTAGTTTGTTTTTCTCTATATTTTTTATTGCTCTTCTGTTTGTGTTTTTGTTTTTGCATGTGCTCCGTTTAGTGTTGTTCTTTTTGTTATTGCTGTTGTTGTTTTGGTTTTTTTCGTTATTGTTGTTGGTTTTCACTTAATCACTTGTTGAGAGCGAGACGGCAAGCGTTGGGATTTTAAGTTGAAAATTGAATTTCTTAGAATTACAAAACAGCAACAGAGCAACAGCAACAAAGTGCCGTTGGCATCGGCATCCCGCGTCCCCCAAACCAAACCGAATCAACCCCAATCTGAATGGGAATCCCCCCGTCGAATGTGTTGCATACGATACGATACCATCGCACCACCATCTTATACCGATTTGGCTTGGCTTAAGTCCCATATATGCCGTATCCCATATCCCATCTACCATATCCCTTATCCCTTATCCCCCGCAAACTTTTTCCATATCCCGTATCATCGCGACGGGCTTCGTTTCATTGCATTGCATTAATTTTGCCAATTAAAAAGTAAATAGAGCCTGCATCCTTTTGCTGGATATCTACCCAATTTGCCCCGTCTCTTTCTCAATTGCTAAGGGTATCCGTTGGTGGAAAGAGCGGAGGAATCTTTTTCGGTTGTGGGCGCGCAAAAGTTTTCAATACAATTTAATCCAATCTGCACATACATTTGGATAGATGTATGATGCATACATACATATATTTTCGACTGATGAATGCCACAGGCATTGCCACGCCCCCCGCTCATGGAATCATTTTTCGTGTGCCCCAAGTGCCTGGCTCAATTCAATCAGTTTTTTTTTTTGGTGGGGAAGCCGCACAGTGGTTGGAGATTTGGCCATGGCAACCGCGGTATTTCGCCCACTGTACCCGCACAAATGAAATCGCCAAAGGCAATAATGGGCCTTCCTTCTGTGGCGTTTTAGTAAATGCAATAATTTATATGATTTGGTTTAAAGGAAATAGACAGGAAATAAAATAACAGCGACGAAATTTTTCAAAATCAAATAATTAAAATATTTGCGGAAATAATAAAACTGATTTTGTATACTTACGGCTTTCCTCAAAGAAATTACACCTTGCCAGTTGCTCTTCTGATAATCACTGCTTCTACTTTCTTTTTGACAAGTTTGGTAGAATCAAAAACGCTCGGCCTACGTGTATAGGTAAATGTACCTGTGCATGTGAGCATAATTTGTGTTTTTTTTTGTTGGAATTATTCTTATTTTGGGGGCGGTGGATCCGCATAGTCTTCTTGTTGTGGCTGCAGAGTGGGGCAGGCAATCTTCTGGGGCATCCAGTCGCAACCGTTTTGTGGCGCAATTGTCTCAACCGTCGACGCGTCGCTTGCGTATCGCATATCGCACCTGATGGGCTGGTCCAAAACAGCCGGCTAAAACCGCTCCACCCTTTTAGCCCCCCCTCCCACCACCACTGGCACACCACCATCTTTTTCTTGGCCAGATTGCTATGCTCCGAACCAAAGCCAAAGACCCAGGCCCAAGTGGCAGCAGCCAACCATTCGTATAATTGTCGATGCGTTAAGGTAATTGTACACCCAGCCAACTGGCTGCCAACTGAGGCAGCAGTTTAGACAAGGCCGATCCAGGCAACACTGCGCAAAATACATGCTACACTCGTATACTTTTGCACTTCGATTGTGGATAGAGAGAGACTTTTGTTTCCAAAACCCCATTAATGCTCAAAGAAAATGTTCAGCTGGTTTTTAGGCTCAGCTTTTAGAGAGCTAAGCCCTGTTTGACCTTTTTTTTGCAGTGCACATGTGTATCCGTACCTCGAGTATACCGTTTCCGCGGGGAGGGAGGGACGTTGTGTGCGCGGGTGGGGGGCTGATGACGAAGGGGGTGTCACTGGGGCAGATATGTTGCTCTGGCTTCTGTTCAATGCCGTCGCCGCAGTAGTTGCCATCGTCGATTCACTCAGTCGTTTCTAAGTTTGCGTTTGTCGTCGTTTGCCGTATTGATGGCACGCTCCGCCGCCTAGCTTTTCCACTGCCCCTCCCCCTTTTCCGACCACCGCCTACCGAGCCCGCCACCCACAAGCAACCTCCCATTTTCGACGCCCCTGGAGAGCATTTAAAATTTTAGTCTTCTGCTGACAACTAGCATTTTGCCATAGACAGACATCGGTCTTAGTTTGGTTTTCGGTGTATGGTTTTTTGGTCTAATTTGCTAGATTTGATTTCAGGAAATCCCAACCGTCTATCTCTCTCTCTCTCTCTCTCTCTCTACCTATGCACATACACCTGCCTGAATGCCTTCGGTTTTGGATAACGATTTGGATACCGATTCTTATTTGGATACGCATTTGTCAAGCCCTTTTGTGTGGCCCATTGTCTCCGCTTGCCTTTTGTTGCAATTGAAAAATGATTGCAATTAAATGCCGGCGAAGACGAGGACTGAACGGAATTGACCAAGGTCCAGTTGGTTTGGCAATGCGGAATGGGATTAGATTCACTGCGGTTTCTCCCCTAAAGAGGCGCATCAATGAAAGTGGCAATTGGATAGCTTACTTATGTTCTGCTCATTGAACTTTTCGACTGAGTTCGTCATGGTTAACCCTGCAATATATCAGTTGCTTAGATTTGAACGAAAAAAATGCAGGAAAAAAATGTTTAAGTCAACTCAAAATAGTGCATTTATTAACAAAATGACACCAACGACCCCTATTATCCTTTATAATTAGAAATCTCTGAGTCCTTTCGATCGTTGATCGCACTTTTATTGGCGCTTATTTTCTGGGGAAGCAGGAGAGCACTGTTTCCGAATTCCTCGACTTGGGACCCGGAGTCAACTGCATCGGCACACATATATCACAGTATATCCGTGGGTTTGTTCGCTGGCAGTTTCGTATAATTATACCCGTTACACGTGCAGTCCAGGGGTATATCAGTTGGTTGAAAGCTATGCAGCAGGAAGAAGCAAGCGTTTCACACCCTGTAAATATTCTAAATCACTACATCGATTTTATGCATGTAATTGTCGATTTTGTAATTTAAAACCCATAAAATTGTGAATAAAATTGTGATGAAATGCATCGCTCGGCAGCCTTCAGCTGAGTGAGGGGTATCCGATAGTCGAGCAACTCGGCCATAGCATTCCCTCTGCTTTTTATATGCAGTCATCAACAGCTCATATATATTTTTATTGCCAGCGCGAACAGCGATATGCATCTGAGGCATCAGAAACAAGAAAAAGATCAGGCGGCAGATGAAGATGCGGCTGAATCCGAATCCGAATACGAATACGAATCCGAATCCGAATCCAAAGATCATTATGATGTTGATGAGGATGGAGACGGTAGGCGGGGGACGGGGCATGGAATGGGGTGATGACTATTTCTGCGTACAGATTTCCAATAAAACTTCTGTCGACTTGAGTTCGGTTTTGGGCCGCGTCTCCGTATTTCATCTGGTGTGTGAGCGAGATTTACACGCTGATACAAGAGTATATACACAAAAGTAACAATAAAGGCTGGCGGCAGCGGCAGCGGCGGCGATACGTTAGTCACTCCGATTCCGATTCCGATTTCTGAATTCTGATTCGTTGTCTCATTCTGGCCCTCTGGGCGTTAAGATTTATTTCTTTATTTTGGCAGCCAGTGGCCAGAGCCAGAGCCAGAGTTGCCTCTCTGTTTTATTACCAGGAAATTTGTATTTAATACGTTTTTTCCGCGTTTTTGTAGCGGGTTTCGGGTGCACGAGATTGTCGCCTTCAAGCTTAGCCCACTAACCGAAAGGTTCTCCAACTAACTGCCGGTTATCTTAGCCCTTCGATCTACACGCATTAAATGGATACAATGGGCTGTGATCTAGTTGCCCCATATGGTGTGGTCGGTAGCCAATTTTCAATGGAAGCCACACACAATCAATCGCTTCGCAGAAGAGCTTCCAGCTTATAGTACCTATAACTTCTTTATGATCTTATCGACTTGTTGGCCGCACTAATCGATTTCGGGGTATTCGGAAGGCCCTTTTTTGAGGAAAACGCTTGTGGTGCATACTCGTAAACTATAATGTGCAGTTAGTTTTACACTTATAAATTATGGTATTTATTTTTGATCAACAGCTAGAGAGAGCTGTCATTTTGATATGCCTGACTTCTAATGTACACAATTGATTTCAATTTGAAGTTTGCGCCAATAAAATTACAGCCTCAGATGTTTATAATTTAAAAAATAAAAAACTAGAAAATAAACGCGAAAATGGGTCGCAGTAAGGTGATTAGAAAGAAGCAATTGCGACGACATTCAGTTAAACAAGAGAATACCGAGGATTATTATTTGACACCCGACGAGGTGCAGGAATCGGTTGAGCGGTGGTCATTCCTTTGGCAATATACTCCGGATTGTGATTCCGAAACAGAGGGCAGCTCAACTTCCACCGTAACGCAACAGGATCCAACTGCCTATGGGGACTGGTGTTTGCCCGGTGGAGAATTCGATTTCCAGACTACCGGCAAGGAAATGCTGATGAATCTCAGCAAATTTCCCTATCCGGACCTAATCCATCCGCCTGTTCTGTTGGACACCAAGTTGCCCAACACGCTGCGTGTTAATCGCCGACCCTATATCACCCACAAAATCTTCGAGTACGTAATGCCGGACATATATAATCGGGCCAAGGAGATCATGGAGCCACCCGTGTGCGAGGGAGCCGTGGGCTATGATCCCATGTACTTTGACCCACCCATGTTGATCAAACCTCTCTGCAAGTACAGCAAGCATCCTTACTTCTCAGCCACGTGGAACAATACCAGCGAGGAGTCCTGGATGAACTGGCGTCGTTGTGCCAAAATGTTGCTGGAACTTAATGAGTCGCTGGTGGATTACGAGAAGCTACCTCGTGGGCCTAAAAACTGCCAGTACAGGCGCAATAAACTTCTGTCTGGATTAGGAAAGGATCCGGAGCGATGTACAAGGTGGCTGCGTCCCAGGACCAGGTTCACTTTGAATCCGGAACCCGATGCGATCGACAAACAGTGGGAGGGGCTCGAGGAGGAGCAGTTGGCCTCCGATGATTTGTACGCAGACATTGGGAACGAAGAACTCGAAACGGACACACAGCCCTCATGTAACGCCTCAGTGTCGGACGATCTCATTCCAAGGATAACCCAATCGCAGTCGGATATCAATCGAGATTATTTAAGGACGAGTTTGATAATAAGGCGCTGTCATAGTTTGAACAGTATTTGTAAGTTAATTTAAGCCTTGTTGTCTACAAAATGCTCCAAATGCACCTGTAAGTGAAAAGAATTTGTGTAGCACGCCCCAAAGGCTCATTTACCAATTAAAAATTAAAAGTCCATTCAAAAAAAAAAAAAAAAGCCCCAGTCCTAAGACCCCCTATTCCGATTTCACACAATTAAAAAGACCAGCAGTTAAACGAGGAAAAAGAGCGGCAATTGTAACAGGCGGCAAGCTCATCGATCAGTTGAAATTAATAAAATACTCAATAAATGCGCTCACAAAAACGTGTGCAAACAATCGATCAATCAGCGGATTTGACAGGCCCGCAAATCGCTGGGTGAGTTGGCTTCGGAATCACCGACATGGTTTTGTCTTGCAACTTGGGGACTTGGAACTGCGATTGGGATTGGGATTGGGTTTGGGTCTGGAGGCCGAGTTGGCTGACAGCCAGTCTGCTACCAATCTGCGAGTTCAGACTTCAAAACAATTACACAGCAACATTTCCAAGAGCCGAGAGTATCTGTGTATCTTTGAGGTACATGCGAGTACGCATACGCGTATGCATATCTTAGGGGATGAGTTCCTCAGTTACGAATCTCTGAATCATGAAACCATAATCGGGAGTCGGGAGTCGGGAATCGGGCAACTGCCACCGTACAAATGCGACGACTGTTGGCCTGTTGATTCAAGCGATTAATCGATAACAAATAAAAACATTTCGACAACTACTTCCAAAGAACGCTCTACCAGCAGCCACCATACAATACAGCAGTGCCAACTCCAGAACAGAACAACGAAAACCCCAATTCCCTTTTGCTACAGTGAGGAAAATTACTGACATTATACTGGTTGTATACTAATGTGGTCTGCACAAAGAAAGCGAGTTGCAGTTGTCAGTTTTATTTATTGGCAGTGCTTTTGATCTAATTTAAAAGTATTAGGTTTTGTAAAAGATACATCTGAGATTTCTTGCAGTGCACCCCGCCACTAAACCAACTCCATCGGAGGCTGTCAACAACTCGACATTGTGTGTATGAGTGGCGTGGTACGCATAAATGCCATGGAAATTTTCTTTTTAATCAATTATGAGTATTAAGCCAAGGGGCCAACCGTCCATATGGGGATCGCTGGGAAGGGGGATTTCGGGTGTATTCCGGGGTATTTCATGGAGGGATTGGGGTGATTCGGCGGACGCCGCACTGTGTATCTTGTATCTTGTATCTCCCGATCACCGATCGTTGGGGTGAGAGAGCTCAAATGTGAGGCGCGCGCGGCGGCAGCAAGATAAAAATCGCAAACATTCTTTATTGAATGCTGTAGATGCCAACGCCAGACATCTCGCTGTATATATTTGTATGTGTTTACCATACAAGTGTAATCCCTAAGACCAACTGGAGTGGCACTTCGAGTACTTCTCCAACTGAAGTGGTAGCCTATGGTAGGCAAGCTGCCATTCCTCTTCCTCGAATCGGTTTGGGAATAGATTTGCAGGATCTCTTGGGTAGAGGTTTTCAAGTTGTGGATCAAAACTTGCAGCTAGTCCTTTGGGGCGTGTGTTCAGTGCTTAGAAATGCTTGGAATGTGCCGAAATGCCGAAAAACTCTCCTAAAGCAGCTTATAACTTGCCAGGATAAGCCATAGCGTTTTGTGGCCTAATGACTGCGTATCTACGCCTTGTGTAGATACTTTGGGCACCTTATCGCTATTTTGATAGTTGCTAGCAAGATGCACATGCCCGGCGTCTTGAGAAGAAGCGCACAACGTCAAACAAATCATAATCGGTGGCTGGTAGACAGTAGCTGCATACGCTTCAAACGGTCGACAGTTTGTCTGTCAAATTGACATTACACGCAGCGACGCGGCTGCGACGCCGGCAGAGGGTAAGTCAAGTGCGGCAGAGGCAGCATCAGCAACAAGTTGCATTTACATATCACTAAGTTGCCCTGCGCTCCATACACTGGCAAAAACGAAACAAGCAGTCCCACATAAAGACATTTTCTAGGGACAACTTAGATTGCATATTTATAAAGGCCCGGATATTTTCTAACAGTGCACCAGGACCACTGGCTGGACTTGGACGTGGATCGGGCCTTGTTCGTGGTCTTGGACTTGGACTCGGATTTGGAATCGCAGCCAGTCTGCGTTTTATTCCGGGCGTAGGCCGCTTGACTGACTGACGGACTTGGCTGTTGGCTTCTGTTTGCGGCGCTGACTCAGCTGAATCTGGGCCTGAATCCCAGTTCGAGATCGAGTCCGAGCCCGAGCCTGAACCTCCAACCGAAACTGAAGATGAAGGCCTCCACCTTCCACCTTCCAGCCGATGATTTTCCGCTTGGTTTGGCTGCGCCTGGCAACCTGTTGGCAACTCATTAAATAATGCCGATGACTGGACAAATTCGTATTATGGTTGTTTCATTTTTTTATTTATGGCGATTAAACAAGCCCAGCATAATCCTGGCTGTGCAGTGGCATTGCATTTGACTGGGGAACCGGAACGTTGGCGTTATAATTCTACCAGCCCACCTCCATTCGGGCTTTTCTCCTTTACACACCCGATAGCCCCGATCTCCTCCAGCTGACAGTTCTCCTCGTGGCGCGGTTGCTTCTGGTTCCTTCTGGTTCCTTCTGTTCCTGTGTATTTGTGTGCCAAAGTGACACTTGTACAGATTTTCTTAATGCGCCAAAGTGCCACTTGTCGTCTGTTGACGCTCCTCGTCCTCCGTCCATCGTCCTCCTTCCTCCCAGAATCTCCCAGTCCCGGAATCGGCACAGAAAATCCACAGAACGCCAGAGATCGAAGCCGTTTTGTACGTGTCTCGGCAGTGAAATTTTGTGAAATCAGCTAAAGCGAAGACAAGTTGCCAGGGAATCCTCGAAACTTGTCCGTCGCCCAGGCACAATTCTAATTGCTGGCCAACGCACAATTTGTCACATGCCAAATTAATAAACGAGCTGTGGCCAAAGTGCACCTTTTGCCTTCAAACCGAAAACAGTAGCAGCTGATTTTGGCTTCAAGTTGGCAGAATCGGTCCTTTGATTGAGTGGATGAGTTGTCGGTAAAACTGTGTGGGTCTCAATGGAGCGTGAAGTAGTTTTTCTGGGCAAACCAACTTAACACTTCAGATGTGTGAGGTCTTAAGGTAGCGGTAGTCCATATAATCTTATTTTCTTTAGAATAACCGCTCTCAGAATTAGCTCACTAAATCTGTGATTTTAAATATAAGAGTGTTCCACAACTTTAAGAAACAAAAGTGACAAAACAAAAACAAAATATATATATCATATAAGTTAAACTTCTTTGAGGTCTCCATCAAAGGGGAAACCATTTATTTAGCCTCGAGAGTCGCCATTGTCAGTAATTACCTTGCTCCAATCACCGAACATTTAATAAATCTCAAAGGGGCGTTCTTAAGTTGCAGCAACCTGCGACTTACTCTTAATTGCAACTAGTTATTGTGATTATTTTGAGGAATACGACCGGGCATGATCAAATTTGTAGTTCACGTGCTGGGCGTAAAATTCAGTTCAAATTTTCATTTATTGCTAGACAATTTTAATAATTTTACCCACGAAACGACTAGAATCCCGAAATAAACACTACGATACCAATGAAAACCAAGGTATCTTCCAGTCGAGCTACTTGCTACCTCAAGGATAGCCACTTGTTGCTGCTGGCTGCTTGATTTTGTTGTAATACTGGGCAGTGCCCCGGGGCACTCTTTATTTTCTTGGTTTTTGCCTCTTGTTTTCCCTCTCTGGTTGAGGCTGCCACTTAATTTATTTGTCACCGAACCGAAGCGCAAATGAAGTTCGAAAAAACCAACCGACATGCAAAGGCATCCGAGAAAAGTCAACAAACAGCGACCACGGAATCGTTTGAAATAATACGAGAGGGGGGAAAACGCAGGCAGCAGCAGCAGCAGCAGCAGCAAAAAGCTGAAGAAATAATTACAAATTAAAATGAAACACGGAATGGGACAGACACTCGGACGGACACACACATGAGGAAGAGCCGGGCTTTGAGATCATATAGGGGGACTTTGAGGGGCCAGAGTTTTACCAACTTTATAAATAGCTGCGTTGACGACGCCGCTGGCCACGCATGCGCAAAGATTTGTCATAATTGATAAACGACAACAGCAACATTCGAGACTCCTCCATTCAAAAAAAAAAAAAAAAACAAATTGTCTTTACAGAAAAATGACAAGACAGCCATCGAAGTGGCCACTGTTTTTTCTTTTTTAGGGGTGGACCACGGCGATTTCAGGCTTCCCGCTCACAGTTCCCTTCACAGTGACAGTGACTGTGACTGTGATCACGCCTCGGTGAACATACAAATCGAAGCTACTGCATATTAACCCATTAGGTTGGGAAAGAGCAAGTTGCCGTCCAATTTATACATATCTGGTTAACCAAAAGGATGGAAAACTAAGTTATAGTAATTAATAGCCAGAGTGAATAAATTGCGGTGCAGATTCCAGATCCCCAATCGATCTTCGCACAGCTGCTCCTCCAGATATCCAGATACTTTCAGCAGCTGCCAGACATAAAATCCGAATCGCAGACACAGGTGACGATGACAATGACAATGACAACTTCAGCACCCGATTCAGCTGGAATCACAGCTTTAACTGCAACTTCCACTTCAGGTTGAACGATGACGCCAAATTGGCAACGCGTTTCTGTTTCTGTCGCTTTTTTTGTGGCCCGAACGTGAGAACCAATTGCTATGTATGGTCATTACAAGCCGACCAGTCCATCTGACGCTCCGTTGGTCAGAGCGAGAGCTATAACCCATAAATATTTTAATGATGATTACATTTAACAAAAAAAAAGAAACGACGAGCGCTGCATTGGCATCACGAAATCGAATGAGAGAAATCACAGGGCTGGGTGATGGGTACTGCGATTGGAATTGGGGAATCGAGGATCCCAGTATGGCCATATCCCCGGTATCCCAGTATCCCAGTATCCCACTGATGATGAGCTACTAACCCGGCACTGACGACATTTTTCGAATTACATTGACAGGCGGGGACGGGACTAAAAGCGATAATTATTGCCAACTTGCGGCGCTGTAAGTGTTGGCGATCGTGTTTCGCGGCAGCGTTTGTGTTGCAGCTGTTTGTTGCACCGATTCCCAACCCAACCCAACCCAACCCGGTATTCCCTGGCATAACCCTCTGCCTGATCGACGGCGTCTTGCCAATGTAATTTCAATAATTTTATCTGCCGCCGCTCGCGTCTGCCGTGATTCGATTGGCGAGCGGTGACAGATCAAAGCCCCTGCTTTCTACACACGGAGAAAAAGAGTTTAAAGTTTTTAATCAACTGCAAAGCTGTTTATTTACGCAACAGTGCACCAATCTTGTGAATTAACATTGGTTTTAGGCGACAAAGGCTGCCAGTTCTCCATCATTGTCTAACATATTGCTTCAAACGTATTCGCAGTTGAAACGCATTTTCGCTCAGTGCCTGCACGTCGGCAAAGTTCTGTGATCGGCGTTCACAGGCAGCCAGGCGATGGGTGGAGCTGCTCGATTCGACTGCTTTTGGAGCTGCCTGCTCCAGATGTTTAGCTGCACTTTGGCGGCTCGATGAGGAGTTCCTGCGATCGCAATCACATCCAGGTTCAGGTTCAGCTTCAGTTTCAACTTCAGTTTCAGCTTCAGCTTCAGTTTCAGGTACAGGTACAGGTTCAGATTCATGTTCAGGCTGACTCGCGTTGAGGTTGAGGCAGAGGTCCCAGTTTTAAGGCTTAGCAATGCGCAATCATCAACATCAGAGCAAGCGTCATCAGCCGACCACTGCCAATTACTCGGCAGCATTGCTGACATGCCTCTTGCCATTTGCATCGTTTTCGTATTGATTTGTTTAACTCCGCGCTCTGCGCACACAATTTTCGGCCTCCAAGCCGAACAGATTCGATGCCCCATGGGCTCCACTGCATTTTTCTCCCACGGCCCAAAAAGCGTGTGAGTGCACGAGCAGTTCAATGCGCCCATCGAATATGTCAAAAATCTATCGAAGGGCGACAATCGATCCGAGATTCTTTCTGCCTCAAATCAGCTGCATTCCCAAACGCATTCTGTAGGTCAGTTATCGACCTAGTTTACGTGTTCTCCACTCGCAGCTAATTCTTGTCTTTTTGGATCGCACCAAAGAGTTACTTTGAGCGTACCTTTTAAAGTTATTAGAAAACAAACAGCACATATTGATTTTTATATTTAAATATATTTATATTTAAGTACTCGTCATTCTTGTCTTTTTGGATGACAGCAAAGAGTGGCTTTTAGTACCTTTTAAAGTTATTAGAAAACAAATTGCACATATAGATATTTATATTTATGTATATTTATATTTAATCAGTCGCAGGTAATTCTTGTCTTTTTGGATGGCAGAAAAGAGTTGCTTTCAGTGTACCACCCTTTAAAGATATTAGAAAACAAATAGCACATATTGATTTTTATATTTATATATATTTATATAATATTTAAGTACTCGTAATTCTAGTCTTTTTGGATGCGGGCAAAGAGTTGCTTTTAGTACCTTTTAAAGTTATTAGAAAACAAACAGCACATATTGATTTATATATTTATGTATATTTATATTTAATCATTCGTAGGTAGTTCTTGTCTTTTTGGATCGCAGCAAAGAGTTGCATTGAGTGTACCTTTTAAGGATATTAGAAAACAAAGTGCACATATTGATTTTTATATTTATATATATTTATATAATATTTAAGTACTCGTAATTCTTGTATTTTTGGATGGCAGCAAAGAGTTGCTTTGAGTGTACCACCCTTTAAAGATATTAGAAAACAAACAGCACATATTTATATATTTATGTATATTTATATTTAAGTACTACTAAATTCTTGTTCTTTTGGATCGCAGCAAAGAGTGTACCTTTTAAAGATATTAGAAAACAAATAGCACATATTGATTTTTATATTTATATATATTTATATTTAAGTACTCGTAATTCTTGTCTTTTTGGATGACAGCAAAGAGTTGCTTTGAGCGTAACTCTTAACGATATTAGAAAACATATTGATTTCTATGTTTTTCTATATTTTTATTGATTGTTTGAAGTATGTATATTTCAGGCTGTATAATATTGATGCTTTAATTTTGCTGAAAATCAAACCAGCTGTCTGATATTTCTGTTGGCTGAACTCCTTGGCTATACACACGCTTTTCTCCCAGGCCAACAAGCAAAGAATCCCAAAAACCAAAGCGATCTCTCCCCGATCGGTCAGATCCACTTTCGGGCAATTAAAATTCGATTGAAATCGCCACGAGGTGGACATGTTAATGAAAGATCGCCACGCCTGGTTACCACAGTCGCATTTTTCCCACACCAATTGCCAATCGAGGGGGGGTAGTTCCAAAACATACCGATTTATCGGGTTCCCGAGTTCGCTCAAACAAACAAAAAAGCGCAGTCGCATTTCATTTGGGATTCCGTGAGCGTTTCGGTTCAAACATAAAATAAATAAAAATCAGTACAATTCGAAGAGCTGTTGTCGCCTTTGAGCTTTTGCGACAATCACTCACGTTGGCCATTTGGCGGTTCCGTCTCAGGTCCCCTTCTTAGCCCCCTTCTCCCCCTCCCCCCTCACCGCCCCTGTGCCAACCCTTTCCTCGAGCGTTCAATCATCGGCGATTGTCTTTGAGGCCGATTCATTCGCTTAAACCAACGTTCTGCGTATTGAAATGAAATTTGTGTCGCTCGACACGATGACTTATTCAATTATTCGATACGAACCACGTGATTGAATTATTGAAACAAGTTCGGGTTCAAACCCCATGTGGCTTTTAAAGCTTAATTATAGAAACCTACTTGCTTGCAAATTTACCTTAAATAGATGTGTAGTTCTCTTAACTTAGTTCAATGGGTAGATGATCTTCTGATATATATCACTCTTGGTGAAAAGTATATATTTACTTTTAAAATTTGTGGTAGTTTTTTTTAACTTATTTGATTGGTTTCCTCTGGTTTATTTTTTTAATAACACACTCTTGGTGAAAAGTATATATTTGCTTTTAAAATATGTACGAATTGTGATAGTTTTTAAGAATCTAAGGTACATATTAATTTAATATCCTATTTGCTTGAAAATGTACCTTAAATAAATGTATAGTTGTCCTAACTTATTTCAATGGGTAGATGATCTTCTGATATATATGGTTAATAACACACTCTTGGTGAAAAGTATTTATTTACTTTTAAAATTTGTACGAACTGTGATATTTTTTAAGAAACCAAGGTACATATTAATCTCATATCCTATTTGCTTGAAAATGTACCTTAAATAAATGTATAGTTGTCTTAACTTATTTCAATGGGTAGATTATCCTCCGATACATTTTTTTATTAACACACTCTTGGTGAAAAGTATATATTTGCTTTTAAAATTTGTACGAATTGTGATATTTTTTTAGAACCCAAGGTACATATTAATTTAATATCCTATTTGCATGAAAATGTACCTTAAATAAATGTATAGTTCTCTTAACTTATTTCAATGGGTATATCTTCTGATATATATTGTTAAAAACACACTCTTGGTGAAAAGTATATATTTACTATTAAAATTTGTACGAATTGTGATAGTTTTTAAGAACCCAAGGTACATATTAATTTCATATCCCATTTGCTTGAAAATGTACCTTAAATAGATATTTAGTTATCTTAACTTATTTCAATGGGTAGATTATCCTCCGATACATTTTTTTATTAACACACTCCTGGTGAACATATGTATTTACGTTTAAAATCTGTACGAATGGTGATCATGTTAAGAACCATTTAATTTCATATCCATATTTTCTCGGTGAACTGCGATATTAGCTTGGATTCGGAGGAGTTCTTCGAATCCGACTGCATTTGTGAGCTAATGTCCTGGACCGGTGTCTTTCTAATCTTGATCCTTCCGATGGCTTTATCCCCATCTCCAGACTGTTTTTCCGGCCCGCCTCGTACGATCTGCAGGTAATCCTCTAGGCTCAGGCTGCTGCGTCCCTCAGCCGATCCCAATGTGGTATCATTGGTATTGAGGCTCGCCAGAAACTCTGCAATGGTGGCATAGTGGACCCCATTACGCCGACAGCGATTGTATTCCAAGTCGCGATCACTGCTGCTTCTGCGGATCTGGTCTCCGTCCATCGTGGCTTACTTAAAACGAATAATTTGGCAGTGACTTTAATATTAGTGATTTTGTAGTATTAGTTGTTAATATATGGGGCGTAGCCAACTTTGCTTTGTAAGGAATTTTATTGGCAACGTAGTAGAACTAATATTGAACATATGTAATATGCAAATAATACGTTTTCAAGCATTTTCGGTGGCTGCCTGGATTAGTAGACGCAAATTGATTTAACATGGCTCGAACAAGTAATAAACATGTGGCTTTTCCCTTTCGCGGAATAAATTCCAAGGGGCAAGGGGGGCACACCCGTTTGACAGCTCATTTTGCATAATTGTGCGGCGCGACGGGCAGCGCATACAAATCGATTATTGAACTCAATTCCTGATATATATTTTTTATGGTTTGATTTATGATCGCCATGCAGTTGTCAGTCAGTCAGTTCGTCAGTCAGTCAGTTCGTCAGTTCGCCAGCCTGTCAGGCAGTCGAAGGGTTGAGTTGAGTTGGTTCTTTAACGATTGAGCATCAAAAATGCTAATTGAGCTGTTTATCGATTTGTCAACAACAATAAACCGCAAACAAAGTCGAACAATGGCCACATCAGCGGCGAGAATGTCATTTGTTCATTGTTGTTCGATTTGATGGGGCTTTTGGGACCCCGTTTCAAGGGGACCCCCTCCCCCCTCCCCGCTTCACGCTCTCCATTGAGTTTTATTGACTATTAAAATTGTGTCAAAATGTGTTTGAAATTTTTTATTGTTAATTATACGCGGCGGGCGTAATGTGGAACCAATAAACAATATCGGCTTGGCAATTGAAATTCGTTATTAATCGTTTGTTATTTTCCCTCGTTTATATAGTTTTGTTTTTCGTTTTTTTTCTTTTTTTGTTGTTTTGCTTTGGGGAATACTGGGAATTAATTTGCCGAACTAATTAAAGTATAAGGCAGGCAAGCATGAAACCAAAACTGAAATCAAATCAAAATCGAATTCGAAAAACACTCAAATGAATAGACAGGCGGATCGGACAAGCCGACAAGTTGTAGTCCCAGATCCAGGTGCTGGGCAATACACTGAGAAAAAGCCAGCAGGCCATTTGTAAATTATCAAAAGATAATTTTGTAATTTGTTTGTTACTCAAGCTGTATTCAATGCAGCTGCTTCTAAGATGATAGAACTAAAGTCATTTCCAGCGATTCAACTATTTCTATAATTCATAAAAAGCATTGCAAAACAAAGTTTTCCAGCAGTGCAGAACCAAATTCAAAAGCAAGTTTCGGTTGAAGTTTGAATAATGAGCCCTGAAGATAGAGCCGTGGCAAATACCGATTTCACTGACCGCCCTCAGTGAACTGAACGGACAGAATGGATATACTGACTGACTGACTGAATGACTGGCTGACTGACTGAGCGAATGACCAACTGACTAACTGACTGACAGAACCCCAAAAGAGATCGCGGGGGGCTGGTCAGGCGGATCCTGACTGACATTTGATTATTGGCTTCCAATTTGTTGCAGTTTTTTGTTTTCATTTTCCATTCAAGCGCAAATTGCGTGCCTGGCAATTTGCAAAAATAAAAGAAAAAGGAGCAATATCCAGGTATACATCCAGGTGACGGAGCAAAAGAGAAGGAGCGATCGGCGAACAGAAGTCAAATTGTGGCCAACATGGAAATTAATGGAGCAATGGAGCGACGGCGATCGAGAAAAAAAAAAAAAAGAAAAAAAAAAACCGGCGAAAAATTGGAGATGGAGATCACGGCTGCTGTTGCTGCTCCTGCTTTTGCTGCAAAATCGGCGGCAGGAAAGGAGTTATTAAGACAGAAAGGGATAGCCAGAGGTTGACCGGGTCTACCTTTATTTCTTTACTTTTTTTCTGTTTTTTTTTTTTTTTTTTGCTCTTATTTTCTTCGCTCTGTTTTTCTTTTAATGAAGGCAGTTCGATCGATTTGGCTGGCTGCGAATCGTGGCAGCCCCCCCTCCTCAGCCCGAGCCCAATTTCCAGTTGCAGTTGCAGATTCGATTTTTAGCGATGGCACTTTTGTGGCATCTTGCTGTTCGATTTGCTAAGCTGTTCCACACATGCTATAATGATGATTTCCCAATTGTTATATGTTGTTGGCAAAACTATTGCAACAACATATTATCATGGATTTTTTTGTTTTTTGAATTTTATGATTCCTGTGCCGCCGTTTCGTGTCACGTTGCCGCCGTTAAAATCGGCCAATTCGGAGCAGAGACCAGTCCTCGGCACAATTTTAGCCGGTAGTTGGTAGTTGTTGCTGCCGTGGCTGCTGTTGGCCAGGCCAAAAGAGCCGAAGAAACAAAAAGGCTACAAGCGCCCAGGGTCCAACCAAACTGAGCCGAACTGAAGCAGCGTTTTCGATCTGTCTGTCAGTCAGCTGCCATTTTTGCTTGGCTCGCGAGACTCGAGATTCGAGACTCGAGACTACTCTGCAGCTGAAGAAGCTGGAAACTGGGGGGCTCTGGCCAAGAAATCAGCCAACCAAGTCGGCGAACCAATTGATTGACATTGCCCACAACGCCCTTTTGCCAACTTGGGGCGGTCGTTCCAAATGGTCCGCTCAGTTGGTCCGCTTTTGTGGCCAACTGTACCGGAAATGTGTGAAAATGCAAAGAGCCATGAATGAATCGCTTAGTTGCCGGCCAGTCAGACTTCTGTTGAATTATTATGCCCCCGACCAACTACTAATTATACAACAATAATTAATTAAGGCAAGAAGTCGAAAAAACAAAAAACAGGCAACAAAACCAGTTGGCCCAAAGCCGAAGTTCATTCAAGAAAAGCTACGGCTGACAATGACAAAAACAGTTACCAACCGTCGTTGAGCGGTCAAAGCCGTGTAATTATGAAATTCAAAGAAATGAAGCATTAAACCGAACCATCTCGAAACAAACAAGAAATATGATATATAAAAACAGAAAAAAAACAATGTTCATAACTAAATTAGCATGGAGCCACCGCCCATTGATAACTCCACTTTTGGCTGGTTTTGTTTTATTTTTTGTTTTCCTGGTGGTTGACAAATTAATACGTACGAAACTAAACCCTTTTTGAAGTCAACCGAGCAGCTGGTTAGTGCTATAAAAACCAGGTCCACACCGGGATTACCACAGCCAAAAACTACGCTTTTCTCACCACTCACTTTATGATTAGTTTTACAACTGTGATTATTATTATTTAAGACGCCTCTTTTACAATTCCAACGAAAATTTCATGCGCGGAATGGAATTCATAGACATTAAACTGAGAGTTATGTCTTTATAAGTCCATGTTAGTTGAGCTCAATGGAAAGACTGAAAAAATACGTAGGGAGTTCGAATTTCAGGAAACCACAAATTACGTACAAATGATAACCGATTTCAAGGGAATAAACCAAAAGTCAGTGTAAGGTGCTAGTTATTCAAACTATCCTAATCTTTAATGTAACTAATATTCGCTGTGTTCCCTCCTTAAGTCTTAAAGATCTTTTCAAATCGGTTTTAGCAATTTTCCTCGGAGAGGTTCTAACAATTAGTACAACTCCCATCACTTTCCTTGGATTTCTGCAGCTCTCGCCGTTCGGTTCTCAGCGCTTCAATTGAGAAGATTTCCACATTTTCCCATGCGGTTTGCAGTGCTCGGGACGTGTACACATTTCTAATTAAATTTTCAAAGTTGCTTTTCCATTCTGTGCGATTTTTGATTGACATTTTACATTAAATGTTCTGCACACAGAGCAGAGCAGAGCTCGCGGAAAGTGGCCACGGCGAACGGGCAACGTTGAAATTGATCAATTTCACATAATTTCAAGGCAAGTCGGACGCGGTAATGCAAATCCGACAGATGCGACTCTGCAACTCGCTCTACTCGCGACTGTTAGAAGATCTTAGATAGCTTTTTCTTTTTTTTTTGTTTTTTTTTCTGTATTCCTTCCCCTTCGGTTGGCGATGTGTGAATGCGGATTCCTTGGTGGAGGAAAGACTGGACCTGGCTTATGATTGACAACGGCTGGATTGAGCAGCGCTGTAAGCCCGATCCCAGTCTCCATCCCAATCCCAATCCCAGTCGCAGTCCAAAACCCAAACCCAAACCCAAACCCAACTAAAACCAAAACCTAACCGAACAGATCTGAGCCGAACGGAAAACCGAACCTTGGCGATCTGCGAATCCCTGACAGCTCGACGGCCTTTGGGCGATTTAAACGTTTCGGCTTCCTCCCCCACCGCTCCTCTCAGGCACACTTGAAAAAATGCCAGCCAGAAACTGCCATGATTTTTATTTTAATTTTAGAATTCACTTCTATTATATTATTATAATAATATATGATGTGTAAACGTATCAATCAATATGGAAACAAACTATATATATAATTAGCAAAAAAGCTTTAAAAGCGTCTAAATTTGTTTGCAGTGCACTGCAGCTCACCTGAGCCTTCCCCGCACACCCCTCGCCATTTAATTGCTCGCCGTCTGCTGGATTTCTTCAACTTCTTTTACAATTCTCATTGATCTTTTTTCGAATGTGCGCAACTGTCGGATTTTGTGAGCTGTCAGTGGCTCTCTGCCGTGGAGACGTTGCCCCTCCTTAGCTCACCCCCCCCTGCCCCCTCCCCACTTCTAACCACCCGTTTAACCCCTCTGTGCCCCCTGGTCGGGATATGTGTCTGTGGCGTGGCATATCTTTGATTTGCTAATTAACGGTTTGTCGGTTCAGTTTGACATTTGAACATGAGTTCTTGACATTTCTTTTCTCTCTCCGCCGATTTGTTTGGGGCCTCAAGGGGTTAAGGGGCCTGTTGGCTTCTTGGCAACTGGATGCCTTATTTGTGGCAGCCTATTGATTGGGTCTGACCTTGGCTTTGATAGCAAACGCCTTTTGGCCGAACTATCGTCTAAATGCATGAAGAAACGTAGCATTTTTGAGTTCCTATATATGTCTGTAAAATGATTAAATTTGTAGAAGTGCTAAAATTAAATCCTGCCATTTTCCCACTGATGCCGCGTACAAATCGCTTAGCAGCCGCAAATTGATGGTCAGCTGGAATTTGAGCCGCGGCATAACATTGTTAACACCTTGACGGCTTTCCCCATCCCGCTGGCCGGCTAATATTAATGA